CTGCAAACAAGGAAACAGTGCGCACGTGGATTCGCAACAAAAAAATACAGTAATAGAGCACCAAAATGCATCCGTGCATCACTCAATCCATGTGTTTTCAGCTTTGTTATCAAGCCTACAACTTGACGAAGTCTGTGCACCTTCTCGAAGAGAAGATGCAGATTTTTAGATCTTAACCAAAGACAGATCAGATAGACTCTTGCTTTGAACAGCTTTGGCTCTATGGTGGACAAATCAAGATTGGCTGGCATTGTTTTCTCGCTATTTCATGTGGGACTTTTCTCACTCCATGAGTTTGGCTGACCTTTGGAAAATCGTTTCTGCCACCGCAGGATTTTACCACTTTACTCTTTTACCCCGCGCTTATGTGCGTGTGTGTGTGTGTGTGTCCACCCCTGGACAAAGGGTTTTCCACCGCTACTCCTTCCACTGTTTTTCAACCACCTTTTTCAGTCACATGCAGGGGAGTGGAGCAGGCCTGCAGAGCTCCACTTAACAAAGCTCTCTGCAGTGTCCTGAGGATATCAGCAAGGACGCTTGCTGACGTACCTGCACCAGAAACTGTTGCTCAAGCTTTTCCACTTACGATTTGATTCATGGTGGTTTCACATGCTAGTCCCCAAAACCAGCTTCCTTCAGCCGCTTTCCGCTGACTTTGAGTTTGCCGCTGCAGTCATGTGATTGAAACAATTATGTTCAAACACCTTCAAATGCCTGGACATTTCACCTTGCTGTTCCACCGCCATCCTTCCCACCGTGGTAACTGAGTTAACTGAATACAAGTGTCAGAGTGTGTTTCGCTCAGCCGTCCCACTCGGGTGCTGAGTGTGATCCCCGTCACAGGGGCGCGGTTTTTCACATCGGAAAGCAACCAACCCAACATGCCACCTCTCACCGGATTTCCACTGGAAGTCTTCGACACACCCTTTGAATCAACAGACGCATTGGCCGCCGGGCCCAAACACGGAAGTCCCTCGACAGCCGCCGGGCTATAAAACGGTGCATTGTTTAACCCCCAATGAGGCAGGTTCCCCCACCCCCCCCCCGCTGAGTTCTACTCCCTACCTATTTGGGGCAACATAGGGAAATGGTACTCGACACACTTGTGTGTCGGTGCCTTTCCCTGTGTTGTTCCTTTTCTAGTCTTTCCTACCCGGGCGGTCTAAGACTAAAGTCCCGCTCCCTAACTATTGCACCTAATTAAGACCTGCTAAGTAGTCGGTAACTAATTCTTGTTGAAACCTTCTGTTGATCGGACCCAGCACTTCTTTCCGTTCCCTCAAGTCAAGGGCTAAGTATTCAGTAACTAGAGTGCTAGGTAGTCAGTAACTAGAAGGTTTTGTAACTAGTGGGCCTCGTAACTACCCCTATCTTTCTTTCTTCCCCTCTTAGCGCTGCTCTTTCTGTTTTTCTTTCCTTTTGTTTCTAAGGCTTTTTAGGTGACTATTTAGTTTTCTCACATGCGCGCCGAAAAAGCGCCGAAGCCGGCGACCTGTGTGTGTCCACCCCTGGACAAAGGGTTTTCCACCGCTACTCCTTCCACTGTTTTTCAACCACCTTTTTCAGTCACATGCAGGGGAGTGGAGGAGGCCTGCAGAGCTCCACTTAACAAAGCTCTCTGCAGTGTCCTGAGGATATCAGCAAGGACGCTTGCTGACGTACCTGCACCAGAAACTGTTGCTCAAGCTTTTCCACTTACGATTTGATTTATGGTGGTTTCACATGCTAGTCCCCAAAACCAGCTTCCTTCAGCCGCTTTCCGCTGACTTTGAGTTTGCCGCTGCAGTCATGTGATTGAAACAATTATGTTCAAACACCTTCAAATGCCTGGACATTTCACCTTGCTGTTCCACCGCCATCCTTCCCACCGTGGTAACTGAGTTAACTGAATACAAGTGTCAGAGTGTGTGTGTGTGTGTGCTCGACATTTTACGTTTTTACCGCGGGCCTCTGCAGCGGAAACTCCGTAACCAGAAGACACACCGCGAGCCAGCGCAGGGTAGACCTTTGACGAAGAAGTGGCTTCGAACTCATGAGCTCTTTTTTGGCTCTGAGTTTTTGAATGCTAGGAGCGAGGGTTGGGTGGGAACCATGCAGCACCCTCGACGAGACCTTGGTAGCGACTTAAATAGTTTTGACACGCAGCAACGCTCAGGCTGACCAGTTCGCCAAACAACAAGTGTCTAAGCTGTATCATTTTGAGCTTTTTGGATCGTCACCTCCCTTTCGTCGAAGCTGTTGCGATCCAAACGCACCTTGTATCTGCCTTGGCTCGAAGGGTCGAACAGTGCTTCTTAGCTCCTTCTATCGAAGATCCGGCTTGTCATGGCCCTAAAGTTTCCTGTGTGTTCTTGTGCACAGGCCTTCCGGGTAAGAGAGAAAACAAAGGCACACATTGTTGTCCTATTGCTCTCTTTGCCTGTATTGAATGTTCTTTTGTCACCAGGTGTGAGGGCGGAGCCGTTGATCTGGCGCTGTTTCCGCCCCTTCGAGCGAAGTTTCCCTCTCTGGACGCCCTTTTAAGCAACCGATCATGTGTCCATCTCCCTTCAGAAGTATCGTTTGCCGACTTTGCCCATGGGAGACAGAGGTTCTCACCTGCTGTTCTACAACCCCTTTATGAATACTTCGGTAGGTTGAAATCGCAAATGTTGGTGACAAACACAGCGTCAAAACGCCTTGGTTGCTACTAGTTTTCGACTTTGTTGCTGCTTTCCGGATAATCAGTTGCTCTCTGGTGACTTGACTCTTCATAAAGCCACCTGTTGGTTGAGGTCCTTCTTCAAACATCTTCAAATGCTGCGCTTTCGGGGGCACCTTTTGTCCCCTACTGCCATTGGGGATTCGGCGAACTCGTTCCCTTGCGCACCGGACTCTGGTATGCGTACTAGTAGCTTTTTGTTACTACTAGTAAGGCACCTGTTACTACTAGTAAGGCACTTGTTTCTAATAGCTTCTTATGCCTGTGCAAAGGTTTCCCTTATCCATTTCAAGGGTAAACCCGTGACGCTTAGATCTTTCCTATGGCACAATTCCGCCGAGCTCGTAAATTCAGTCTCACTATGTCTGCAAAGTAGGTCTTCGATCCCGTGGGTGAGTGGCATGAATGGAGCGGCAAAAGTAATGAAATCCCCCTTAATGCACGTGGAGCAAGACAGGAAGTGTCCCAATCGACAAAGAGGAGACAAACTCAAAAAACCTGCCCAGATATCCTTCCACAGGCTTTTGCATTTACTGTGGAAAGAAGATTATGGAACATGCCACACCACCTTCTCCCACAAGCTCCAAGACTGAACCCTGTGATCCTGAGTCACGAATAGCCAAAGGACCGAGGCTCTCGATCTTGAGCTGGAACTGCAATTTCTTGAGTAGTGAAACGTTGCTGTTGTGGTGGTGGCTATTGCTTGTGTTTCCCTACGGGGTTCTTACTTTTGCTGTGCATCCCGTCCGCCTTCCTTCTGGCTCCCGCCTGCCGCCGCCCGCTGCCTCCTCACCAACTCAGCTCACACCGACTCATCTCCTTTACACTCACTCACTTGCATTCCCTCAGTTACGCTCGCTTGCACTCAGTTTCTTACACTGTGTTTTGCAGTTTCGCATCTCCCGACCTCGTGGTCGGCGATGGTTGACTGGCCTCCAAACCCTTGCGTTTGCGATTTGCCTCCCTTACTAAGATATGGTAGGAGGTTCTGCTGATGCGCCCTAGTAGGGGATGGGAGGTTCTGGCACGGTCGGCTGTGGTCAGCTTTTGTATGAGCATGTTCTGTAATTGCTGCAAGTCTACAGCAAGTGGCATGTTAACAGATTGGGAGGCCGCATGTCACAGAGCATCCAACAAAGCACATTTGCTTCAAAGAAGAGACGGTGAGGCTAAGGCCTGGGGATTCCCAATGTTGCAGGCAACCAGCTCGTCAAAAGGAAGGCCGTGGTCTTGTTTCTCCAGCTGCTTCTCCAGGCTGTACGAGCGGGTCCTGAACCGAAGCTGTTGAATCTTGTCTTTGCTCAAGATTCCACGAATCCGACCAGTCTATGAGACCAAGACCAGCGGACACCAGACCGGACGGTCACTGCAGAATCGAACACCAGACCACCCAACCAAAACGGGACCAGGGTGCAGTGGAGTCCCTGCGAGGTGTGGGGATGCCAGGGGTTTCGTCCAGGAGCTACACTGACCGATTCTTGTTAAAGCAAAGTAAAGACAACTCCAGCACAGACAACCCCAACCTGCGATAGCTAGCTTTCATGATCAGCTCAGCTCCCAAATACTGCAAAACGTCCAAATTGAGGCGAGAATCACAATTTCACCTCTCACGGCATATTCTGCATCCAAGATTTTCTGAGGAACCTGAACTCAGATATCAGGAAATGAAGCTTGGTTTGCTATTGACAGCAAAGGAACAGATTCAATTGTGAGGCCCTTGTCAATGCAACCTGCTCCGAATGAGCAAGTCCTGCAGCTGTCGTGATAGATGGCTGGTGCAATGACCCCCAAAGACATGAGCGGACAACACTGTCGAAACTTTTGGCAGTCCCATTGTTGTCTTCGCAGGATATAAGCTGCGGCAGAAGCACCAAGACACAAAGCACCTTCCGCACCTTACACACACACACACACACACACACACACACACGCACGTCACATGCCTCTAAACTGAAACAAGCAATGCCTTAAAAGGCCAGTGTTGGTTGAAACAACTAAGACTCACCTGACCCACGAAGAAGTGCCACCACATGGCTGGAACAAAATGGATCGAAGGATCGGAGTCGATCGGAGTGTTATGCTTTATTATGTTCTTTGTATTTATTATTGAACAATTTTAAACACCTCTTCGACCAGTAAGCCCCTAGGCCAAGTGGTATTGCATCTGTTTCGAGCTTGCAGTTCATGCTGGGTTACTCACTGTCTGAGAGAGAAGGCTGCAGAAGCAAGTCATTTGACAGGCAGCAGCTTCCGCGCAAGGAGTTCCCATAAAATGTCTCTGATGGCAAGGGTCGCACCATTATGCCTTCATCGTATGCTTCAAGGCGTCAATTTCCTCTGAGCTTCGCAATCCCAAAGGTGAGCAGTGCACACTATACAGTAAAAAGGTCGGTCATAGGCCATAGGTTATCGGTCTTACAGTATCAAAAGTGGGGAAAATGCCTTTTTACACCCTCCTGATCCCTCTTCTTGATCTCTTTCTCGTAGCCTTTGATTAGGTCCTCCGAATAAGACATGAGAGCACGAGAAGACTTAGTGCAGAAGTTATTGAGGTACGTCCTCACGCTCCATTGCCAATAGCTTGCTGTGGGTCCTCTCCTTCAATCCAGGAAACATCTTGAGATGTCACCCACAAGTAGAAAAGGCTTGGAAAAAAAGCTTTTTGGTCAGGGCGTACCAAAATGCTGGAGGATTTTGGCCTTTCATCGGTTGTCTTGAAAGACAGCCAAGTTCCAACCTGTCAGTGTCAAACTCAGACTCATCTCCAGCTCTTTGCTCCATTCTTGCTGAGCATGCCACGGACGGCTTCAAAGCAAATGGTGTCTTCGGCTTGGCTGGAGTGGCCTTGAGGTTGCCCAAGGCAAGACTGCAAAAAGGTTTGTTCGCTTCAAAGCTCGAAGATTCTTTTATATAAAAGAAACAACACGTCTAACTCTTCTTGGGCTTTTGCTAAAAAAGGAAAACGCATGCTTTGTTTGAATGTGTAAGATGAGGCCATCACAGATGAGGCTGATCCAGTGGGCGCGGCTCGCTTGGGTGCAGGAGCAAGCCAAGTGCCCACTGATGGTCTCAGCGCAAACCTTGCAAACATTGATGTGTAGGGCCCAGAACTTGTGACCACAATGGAAAAGACTTCCAAAATGTATCCTCAGTGTCTGACTTTGGCTGAGCTTCTTCCGCCTGAGAAATCTGTGCATGACGGTCACACATTGTACTTTGTTCCACTTGAGCCAGTCACAGGAGCTTTTGGAGCAGGTTTCGGCTGGCTCGGAAACTTCGAGTAGAGCTTCTGGCAGGCAAGGCTCGTGAACGCACAATGACTAGTAGCTTCTTGTTACTAGTAGGGATAGCCTCCACCTAATAGCGTCCTTGCTACTAGCAGCTTCTTGTTGCCAGAAGTAATGCCAGGAGCTACTAGTAGCGCCCTTGCTACTAGTAGCGATGCCCTTTGTTGCTAGTAGCTTAAAACTATTCGGGGAAACCTTGTTTTTCCCCGGTAGTAGCTACTAAGTAGGTAGTGGTGGCTTCTTAAGCCTGGACGCAGAAGGACTCAGGATCAAGGAGATTACCCTCAAAAAACACATACATCACAACAGAACACAAAGCGACAACATTGGTCAAAAATGCTGGGGTCAGGAATAAAAGGGAAGGAACCCCATTTATTCCCAGGTGCCAACTGTGGTAGTCGCTTTCTCGGAGACTTGCTTCTTCAGTTTGCAGGGCACGTGTCTTTTTTCAGAGTCTTGATGCTCAAAAGGCCATGTCCACTACCACTCTCAGCTGTTTTGCAACACACCCAACCCTAGTGGATCTTCCGGCATGCACGTACATAGTCTGTACATGGCCACAACACACAACTCCGGATTCGCATGTCCATCCGCTAAATCTACATTTGTGTGACTGTAGTAGAAGAAGAAGCAGTTCCTAGAGGATGCAAGGATACATTGTCAAGCTTGACCAGCAAGACGTATGTATAGCGTATTACTGTATTACTATACTTTATACCTGTCTCAGCTAAATTGTAGCCCCAACAGCACTCCACCATTACTATCCTGAAGGAAAATACAGTAAAACGGTAACTATGTAGGGAAGAAAAAAAAACAGGAAGGAACTATCATAGACTAGACTAAATACGTTTTGGCCTAAAGTACTGCATTTTACTCCACCCGAATCCTGTCTGTTTTACACAAAGAAAGCAAGAGTATGTATATATTATACACTCTAGCATGCATTGGTGAAAAATATGGACTTGCGGAAAAGTGAGCAAGCCAGGACACACACTCTAACGTGTTGGAGAGTCTTACTCTACGTAACCATGCATGAGAAGCAGTTGTAACAGCACAACACAGTATCAAATATCAAGGTATGAAGGGCCGGAAGTCAAAAGCAATGATGGCTTACGAATCCTGTGGCTTTCTCGAGCTTTCTTGATTGTAGCCGCGAGACTCTAGCCCCTCTACAATACTCCACGCATCCCCACCATATTCCACTCTACCTACCTGGTTACACGAGTCTGGTTGCTATGGAACGAGAGGATAGGATAGGAGACAAACTTTAAACGTCGTAAACTGAGCAAGCCAGGACAAAGAAGAGAAGAACGAGGCAGGGCAGGATAGGGTGGAAAGAGAATAGGCTGTCAAGGCTCAAGAGGTGAAGCATAGAGATGAGTAAAGAGCTGGAAGTGCGGATGCAATTTAACTAGTTGGAGCGATACAGTGCAGTAAATGCAAGCTAAATAATGCACAAAGTATTCAGGTGCCTTGGTTGAGAAACTGCTCTTTTTTTGGACAGTTTGGAACTTTCGGATTACATCGGTAAACTAGGGGGAAAAAAACAAAGAACCATTGTAGAAGTAAATAGAAACGTTTGAATGAAACCTTGGGTATTGCTTTGCGATTCTTGGCGTCAAGGTCAAAGCTGTTTCCACACCCTAGAGATGCGTGTCTAGGACGCTCAGAATTGCCTCACGACCTTTTATTGTTAGCGCAGATCAATACAGCACGATGATAGGCTAGTCCTGGGTTGTGGACACTTGCCGGGGATGATAGGCTAGTCCTGGGTTGTGGACACTTGCCGGGACATCAAGGGTAGAAATCAATATGAATCTGAACAACATTTACATTGTACATCATGGTGCTAGAATAATGCAACGAATTCAAGTGATGGTTCTTGTGTTACTTGGTTGAGAGAAAAATTGATGTGTTTGGTTTCCACAGAACCTGCGATGGAACTCAACCGGACAGTATTAATTAAGTTGCAATGCAAGATCTTCTGATGCATCCCGAATCAGTCAGATTACGATGCGCACGAGGTCTTCTGGAAGTGTTTTGCAGTGAATTTTGGTTCAAAATTAATAAACACACACAAACTTCATAAACACACATTGTCATATGGTTTGCAAAACAGCTAGCTTATCTCTCTGCCTATCTTGTCACACTTGCAGGTACTTATGTCTTAATTTTATATATTTATATACATATATAATCATATATATATATATATACAATCACATACCTGAGAAGGGAGAGGATGAACACCCTTCAAGCAGACCGCGAACCGCACAAACATAATTAGTCTTTCAACGTATTTTCTTTATATACAGCCGCTTTCGGGGACCTAGCTAGATTCCAGAAGATAGCGCTCCCTTGCTGGTGCCTTTTTGTCTTCCCCAAAACCGTGACGAAACACACATGCCCTTCCAACAAGCCGCAAACATAGTCTTTCAACGTATTTTCTTTACGGCTACTTGGGGAGACTTAGCTAGATCCCAGAAGGTAGCGCTCCTTTGCTGGTGCCCTTTGTGTCTTCCCCATGCCTTCACTGGCTTGACCTTGGGGCTGCAAAAGGATGAGTGGATTGAGCGATTGATCACTCACCTAGGCTCCTTCTCCCAGACTACCACAAGTTACCCTTTTCTAGTGTGCAAAAGGAGTCGACACCGAACAAATGGTGCACCCCCTGGAACTGTGAATGTGCAAGGGTTGGAAGTGAGACGCTCTGCTTGCAAGAGCGTGGGATTCAACCAGCCCATCAGGCATATTCCCCAACTCATGCATAGCCACGACAAGCGAGCTGTCCACTTATAAACAATATCCTGGCCACTTTGTGATGCTAATGATGCACGATTCAACATGTTTTGCTTCACAACACACATGTTGACTACATTTTGCCCCAAGCTTTTTTGGCTCTCCTTGACCAGGCTCTGGGTGCCACCTCACAACCATCCCCTAATACTCACTTCGTTCGCCCATCAAGCAACTCTAGCCTAGCCTATCGTCTGGTTTTCGTAGTATGTCGCCCAAGGTGCGTCCAATATCGCAACGTGGTCTCCGACACAGAACCCGCACAGTTCTTCACCATGCTAGGATGAGTACGGCATTCTGAACCGAACATCCGGGTGCTGGCGGCCGTTGTCGCGAAGCCAGAAGTGTATGGTTGCCATGCGTTTTGCGGCCTCCATTGCGTCAGATCCGACGCTGTGCACATGATCAGCATAGTACTGCCTCGAATAGCGCTGTTTAAAGAATTGTAGAGGTCAACAACTCTCTGCTATTAGGTTGGAGGCCATCGCTATTAGGCTCTCAATTACTCTCTGCTTGTTTTCGGGCCTGAAATTTGTGAGTGACGCTGGAGTTGCCTTCATGGACTGTTCTGCCCCCTGCACAGCCTAGCAGCATAGTGACACTCCTCTGGTGCAAACCGGTGCAGAATCGTCACTGAGTTTGAGGCTTTTGGAGGCAAAGGTGGAGGCGACTGTGCTTGTGAAGGCAAAGGAGGAGGTGCATCCAAACTGGTCTCACGCAACTTCGCCTTACATGGTCTCAAGGAATATTAGTAGCAAGAAGCTACTAGGTTGGAGGCCATCGCTAGTAGGTTGGAGGCCATTACTACTAGGAACAAAGAATCCACTTAGACAGCTTTTTCAGTCATTTGGTGCACTTTCCAGCCTTCAAGGCGGCAATCTCCCCATCCTTCTCGGCAATCACTGCCTGCAGATTCTTGACAACCTGGGCACAAACGGAGGATGGGGCAGTTGTAGCAAACTACTGTACCAACTTCAACTGTTGCTCTTGTCAATTCGAATGCCCTGGCACCTTCTCATCCTCAGCTTCCACCACTGCAACGTTTTCGTAATACCAAGGCTTTGGAACCTGAAAGCAAGAATGAAGAGGACCAATAGTCCACGAGAGCTCATTAAGCCCGTTCTAAAATTACATGAGATAAGAATGAGCCAAGAGCTTCAGGCAGCTTTCATGCCTGGTGGGGCTTCTTCACAAGCCAAGATCCGACAGACCTCAGTCTTTGCAAACTTTTCAGGCATGCGAAGAAGCCAGAAAAGTTGCTGCAGGACAGCACATTTAGCCTCGAACGGCTTGAACTTGAAGTGCGGCAATTCAGTAGCTGAAGCTGCCTTCACAGGAATCTGTTTAAGAAAAACACATTCAAGACTCAAGCATGTTGTTGTTGAAAAGGTATGAGCATGTTTTGAAGAGTAGTTTCGTTTGGACATGCCACTTCAGGCACCTGCTGCGACTTCTTTGGGGATTTGCCTCAAGGTCAACTCCACTTTGCATAAGAAAAACAGTTGACAGGGAAATTTGACATGTTGAAACAGTTGTGAAACAGTGCCATCAAAGAAGTGGACAGGCCTTGGCTGAGGACCTGGTCCAATGCACCGCTCATTGAAGCACGGAGCAGTGCATCTCGGGCCTGGCAAAAAGCCAAAACAATGCCTGCGCAGCCTTGCCAACCTGAGGTTGTCTAAAAACCCGTCTACCATATATATATGGTACCCCCCCCATGTACCCCCCATTTCTGCGTGGTTCACACTAAACTTGGAGGTAAAGACATGTTTCATGTCTTGGTGTCAGATGTGCAGGGGGGGGTACCACATATATTGTTTGAACTCTTGGGGACAAGTCTTACTTCCCACATCTGAAGGTCAAAAAAGTTTAAAAAATGTCTAAAAATTTTAAAACTTTTGGGAGCTAAGAACTAAGAACTAAGAATGCTGTTGGAGAGCCTGGGGGAATCTTAGTTCTTAGTTCTTACTTCCAGAAAGTTTAAAAATTTTTGATTTTTTTTGAAACAACTGTCTACCTTTTTGGTGGTAGGATGGTTTTTACCCTGTGTTGTCCTGCAATTGGATGCATAAATATAAGCGGAACGGCTGACCAATGCACACAAATAAAGACATATGTTTTCCAAGGTTGTGAAATTAGAGAACAAGGATACATTCCATTTCATTTTGTTAGTAGTATCTAATGCAATTTGCAATTGCAAATATAGCAAATACATAATGGATATAATTGATCATGTGAATTTCAAAATTGTCAACTCAGTTTGTTTCATTGGACTTGCAATTCAACAACCAAGACTTCTGTGTAATCTTGGTTCTTGGTTTCTTGGTTCCAGGAAAATCTTAAGATTTCTGCAGATTTCGGAAGACTTTCGTCACACCACAGGATTTGCATCTTTTGTTCACAGCTACCATGGGTCCGGAAGGACATTCTTTACAAATGCAATATTGGATGTGATCGAACCCTCGGACCTTTTTGTCCGATCTTGAAACGGCTTCAGGTACACGCGTCGATTTGCGCGTGTCTTTCATGACCTGCACTCCTCCCTAGTTCGGCTTTATGCCTGAACTAGCCAACACAAGCGAGCCTCCAGCTCAAGCCGTCTCTCGGCAGATCTTGCACTGCCAAACTCCAACATCGCTCCCGTCACGGCTTCACACCTGGGATTGGTGTGGTGGTTCGCCAGCTGATCCTCGTAGACGAAGTCAGCTTCTCTCAGGCTCCGTCGACCCTGCATTGCCCTCTGGCACGCTCCACACACTGAGTGTCCTTGCACTCTGTTGGCATTCCGCAGTCTTCTGCACTCTCGCCTTCAGTGAAAGCACTGACTGGATTCTGCGAACCAGATCTGCCATGGATGCCCCAAGACAAACCGCCGATCCGTCTGATTCGGAGGTTCTTCATGCGGTTCTTCTTGATCAAAGCGATCACCCCCATGAGCTCCTTGAGTTCCCGGATCATACTGCTCTGTAGGTCGAATTCCACCTCCCCTTGTAGAAGATGATGAAGCTCTTGAAGCACCTCCATCACGGCTGCTCCCAGGGTCTTGATGCTCTTGCATGGTATTCGACCTCCCACCTCTTCCACCAACTGATCTTGCAGAAGGTCTCGTACTCGATGTAGTCCAATCACCCGCCAGCCTCATACTCCTCATGGTTGAATCTTCCCTCTGCTCATTCCAACGCTTATGGCATCGTTGAAGGACCTTCATCAGTACCATTCCCAGGATCATCATGATCACTCCAAACATGCAGAGCACCTCTGACCCATCTCCTTCTTTCGACTCTTTCATAGTGTCGTTCTTTGTGGCCAATGCTCCATGAATCTTCTGGAACATCGTGATGACCGTTACCAGTTGTGTGACTTTCTTGAAGTCATTCTCCAACCACAGGCGACTTGCCACAGGAAGATCTTCTTCTGATTCATCTTCTTGTTTGTCTGCCCCCTTTGGTTGCCATCCCATTTCCATATTTCGCATGAGGTTCTGCGTGCGAGTTGGTGCTAACACCTTCGCGCCAATGTCAGCGACCAAGTCCTTCCCGGGCTCGTACTTCAGCTCCCAGGATCCAGCCTCAAGTTTCCATCGAAGATGTGCTGCTCTCACCTTCAGGTAGCGTGTCCTACATGGTCCGGTGGCTGAGCTTCCCAAAGCAATTGCCGCCGTGTTGTCGCACTTCAGAACTTTCTGCATGTTCCCGGCCATCTCCCCAACCTATGACCTCAATCAACTCTGCCTCGGCAGTTGAGAGCGCTGGAAAAGGTTGTCTGGAAGACTTCCAAGCGATTGGTGAGCCTCCCAACAAAGTGATCACAGCCCCGTGAGAATGCCCTCCACCAGGCGCAAACGAAGCATCACTGGTTGACTCCAACCCAAATCCACACTTCTTGCGGTACCAAATGCCAACACCTTGCGAGTGGTTCAAGTAGCGCATAGTAACTTGATGTGATGCTTTCAAGGCCCAAACTGGAGCTCTCGATGTGGATGAGCAAATCCGACTCACGGCATAGGAGATGTCTGGCCTCGTCTTCGTTGACAGCCATAGTAGTTCCCCAGCTGCTTGTTGCGCTGCGCGAACTTCGTGCTGAGTCTTTTCTGGTTCATCTTCCGGTTCAGCTGTAGTCCTCATCACCAGATTCGATGCCTTGGAGTCGATGGAGTGTCTCCTCAGTAGCTCCCTTAGGAATCCGCTCTGGTTGATGAAGAAGCCCTCCGTATTTCTGTAGATGACAAAAGCGTAACGGATCTTCTCCCGCCCAGTGTGGTTCCGTTGTCTCCCAAGTTTGAGACACTCTTTTCGTTGCTTCTTCAACCACTTGAGGATCACCGAGGACCAACAGGTCATCTACGTAGACCAATGCCAACCCACGCACTAGGCCAGAAGACCCATCTGAACGGTCCTTTCTCGCAAGATCCAAAGGTTCTCGTCCGCAAAGCTCTGGTTGAAGGCAATCTGAACATCATTTACCTTGAACTCCATGGTCGATAGTTGAGCATCACGGTGATCTCCCCATAGTTTCGGCGCTTCTCTTAATCCATAGAGTGCCCGCTCAACCATCCACATCTCTCCTTCTTGAACCAAGCCCAAACGAATTAAGATCCGTGGGGGTTGCATCAGGACCAAACGCTCCCTTCGGTTTGGGTCCACACCTTCCTCCACGTCCTGTTCCATTGGTTGATGCCCTCCTTCTTCTCGATCTTCCAAAGCCAGAAGCTTCTTCCTTTTGCTTTCCTCCACAGTGCACAGAGGGGCGTTCAAGAAGGCTGTTTTCACGTCCAGGGCAGCTGCAGTCCAGTCGTTCTGGGCTCCCACAGCCAACGCCGCCCTCAAACATGTATCTGCACCACCGGCGTACAGTTGTGCCGCATCCTGCTTGGCTCCTCCAGCACCTGCTCCACTCAAGTAGTTTCCGCACACCACCAGACGACACTTTTTGCGAGCATCCGGGGCCTTGATGGAGTGGATCGCTTTGCCAGGAACGACCTCCAACTTGTCGCTGTGTTCCCGTCGGTAGTAGGCAACATCTTGTGGAGTCAGTCGCCTGATGGCTTTCTTTTCTTCCAGCGACTTGATCTCCTTGATGATGGCCTCAATCCATTCTGCTTTGTTCAGGAAGACCTCTTCATTCGGGATGATACGTGTCTGCAAGATCTCATCCTCTACTGGCCTTGTGGCTTCTGCTTCTTGCTCGGCTCGAAAATGGAGCTAGCCCCGCTGCAATGCCGGAACTTCTCTGGGCTCTGAACCCAGCAAGTGTTGCTCTTCATCATAAAGGACCCGAAAGAGGTTGACCCTGCGTTTCTCTTCTTCTTCCTCTTCATAGGTCTTCAAGCATGCAACACTGGTTTTCTCCCTGATCCTTCGTCTCAACTTCAACGGATCTTCATCCACTGTCACCTCGACCAGTGCCAGCTCGTCCTGATCCTTCACCGGCTCCTTAATGTCCTTGATCGTGTAGCTCACCACCTTGATGAACCCCCTGTCCGTGAGGACAGCATGTCCTTTCGACACCTCAGGAACTGGTGTGAGGTACTTCACCAGTTGACTCAAATGCTCCTTGTCGTTGTAGCTCCCAGGACCTCTTCTTCACCACCACGGTCTGGCCAAAATGAGGTAGCTTCTCCGTGATCTTTTCTCTACGACGTCTCTCCAGTTCGACCACATGCCTTGCGGCTGCCGGCCACTAGCACGCCTCCATACCAGCCCCATGCAGCAGTCGTCGCGCCCTCTGCTTAATGGACTTGATTGCCGCCTCAGCTCTTCCATTCTGGGCATGCTCATCAGGGCAACTGGTAGTACGCGACAGGCCTCTTTTCAAGCACCACCGTCTGAAAGAGCCATTGCAGAACTCTCTTCCTTGATCAGTGTGAACTCGTCAAACTGGGTATCCATGTCGTCGTAGTTTAATGAAGAGTTCTTGGGTCCCCGCAAGCGCTTCTTGAGCACTCTTTGAACTCAACGGAACACAAAGCATCATCGTGAAGACTTTGGTCGGCTTGTACTTCGCCTTCAACTCTTCTTCAGTTGGTTCACCCGGCTCTACTTCCTTTTGTTTCTCATCTTCTTCAGGAAGTACTTGAGCCTGGCCGTCTTTTTCGCCCGGTTCAGGTTCTCCTCCCGGGTGTACCTCCATCTTTTCTTCATCCTCATGAACTCCAGGCCTTCAGCCTCGGATTGAGGATAGTAGTCGTCCATGTCAGGATATTCATCTTGCCAAGGTTCCCGAATTGGTTCAAGAGGAGGAATTCCCTCAGCTTCCTCCTCCAAGACAGGCCATTCTGGCTGTCCTTCAAAGATCTCGTCTTTCTCCCGTTAATGCCCTTCATAGACCGGCCACGTGTAGGACCTGACCAGGAGGTACTTCTTCTCGTCTCCATGGTTCGGGGATTCCCTGAGCTCGATGAGGTCTCTGACGGGCAGCTGCTCGTTGACATACTCCACAATCCCTTCGAAATGGAATGTGCCCTTGCGCCAAGTGTTCCCTCCATGACAGAACTTGTAGAGCTACTCTTTTCTTGTGAATGTGCTTGACCACCTGGGTTGCTACTTCCCTCATCATTCCAGGAGCCCATCTGGCAAGACCCTTGCTCGTCACTTCCGCTCGAGGCCTCAAGTCCACCGGCCTCCCCCA